TTTCCCAGACTTTAAACTTTATTGTAAAGCTACAGTAATCAAAACAGCCTGGCACTGGTACAAGAACAAGCATATAGACCAAGGGAATAGAGTTTCCAGAAGCAAAACCTCAATTTCTCAACCAACTCATCTTCAACAAGGCCTTCACCACCAGCCACTGGGGAGAGGAGAACCTATTCAATAAATAGTGCTGGCAAAATAGGCTGAACACATGCAGAAGATGAAAATTAGACCCATATTTATCATCATACACAAAATTCAACTCTAAATGGATCAAAGGGCAAATTGTAAAACTTCAAAGTATAAGAAACTTTGAAAATGCAGGAGACACTCTTATGGAAATTGGAACTGACAACTGATTCCTGATCAAAATCCCAAGTGCCCATGCCATAAGAGATATGATAGACAAGTGGGACCTCATCAAACTGGCAAGCTTCTGCAAAGCCAAAGAAACCATCAAGAGAACAGGGAGACAGCCCACAGACTGGGAAAAAATATTTGGCAACTGTATATCTGACAAAGGCCTAACATCTAGCATCTACAAGGACTCAAACATGAGGAAAAAGAAAAAAAAACCAGCCCCATTACAAAGTGAGCAAAAGATATGAATAGATACTTCTCAAAAGAAGACATGTGAGTGGCAAAAAGATACATTAAAAAATGCTCAGAATCTCTAGTCATCAAAGAAATGCAAATTAAAACCAAATTGATATACCACCTAACTCCAGTCATGATGGCCATCGTCAGTAACTCAGAAAACAACAGATGCTGGAGAGGATGTGGTGAAAAGGGAACACTTCTCCACTGTTGGTGGAATACAAACTAGTACAACCTCTGTGGAAAACAGTTTGGTGATTCCTAAAAGATCTGAAAATCGAATTCCCATATGACTGCACAATTCCCCTACTGGGAATATACCTGGAGGAACTAAAATCACTTTATGAAGAAGACACCTGCACCTGCATGTTTATTGAAGCATTATTCACAATAGCAAAAACATGAAACCAACCGTGCTGCCCATCAGAAGAGGACTGGATAAAAACAAATGCGGCACATATACACGATGGAACATTATGCAGACATCAAGGACAAAATTATGAACTTCGCAGCAACTTGGATGGACTTAAAGTCTAATACTGCGTGATCTATCACAGAAATAAAGAACCGAGTATCACATGTTCTCACTCAAAAGCGGACCTTGAACCACTATCGTAATACTATAAGAACGGGATTGGCAGTAAGTAGTGGGAAACTGCCAGGGGAGAGGGGCGGGATTGGCAGTAGCGGGAAATGCCAAGGTGGAGGGCACACCTCATCAACAAGAGTAACTGCATAATGAATATTTGTATAACTAACCCTGAATTGTACCCCACATATTCAAAAATTTTTAAAAAGAGAAAAAACTGAAAGTTTTTCCTCTAAGATCCGAACTAAGGCAAGGATACCCACTCTCAACACTATTCAATATAGTACTAGGAGTCCTAGACAGTGCAATTAAACAATAAAAAGAAATAAAAGGGGCAACCACCCCCATTGTGGGAGCTTTTCTGTCTTCTCAATAAATCCTGCTTTCCAAAAAAAGAGAAAGAAACAAATACAAGACATTTAAATTGAAAAGGAAGAAGTAGTAAAATTATTTCTTTGCGGAGGACCCAATCATACATGTAGACAACCTTAAGTACTGAGCAACAATAACATAAAAACTGTTACAATAGACAAATTTAGCAAAATTTCAGGAATCAATCTACAACAATTGGTGGCATTTCTATACACTAACAAAGAACTATCTAAAAAGGAAATTACGCATGGGTTTTCAGCCGGTCTGGGAACTATAGTTTTGTGTTTCTTGCCCATGTTAACTCCCAGTCCAGCTTATCTAATATCTATCTTTAGCTTATAGTGGACAATTTTATTCCATTACAATTGTTATAACCAATTATTTCTAATTAGAGTGTTTTCCACTTTGATTTCCTATTATACAGAACTCAGTTTGTGGTTTCTGAAATCCTCCTGACACGAGTGAATACACAAAGCAGAGCTGCATATTCTCAGAAGTCTTGAAAGTCTCATCAGTGCAGTAGCTAGTGCTCATTTAGTTGCACAAAATTAGCATTTGTATTGTTTTTGTCACATCCTGGTTTATCTATGGATATTTATCTCTTGGGATTATAGCTATTTAGATTTGAGAAAAGTGTTCATAGGTGGCATATTTTTCTCTTATTAGAACAACAGTACCTCCAAATCTTGATATATTGTTAGAGTTTGAGAAAGTTAAGAAATGGCATGTCTATTTTTTCCATATGAATTTTGAACAAATAGGAAAACAAAGGAGTAAGACAGATGGAGAGGGACATTTCCAGCAATGTTACTTATAGAGCTGATAGAGCTTAAATAAATGAGAGCAGAATCCCAATGTACAACCTAAAGTTAGAAAGATATATCTCACTATTCAGGTTACTAGAATGAAGGATATTCTTATGTTTCCTATCAAAAACATAAATTGCAAATGAGAATAGTATTCAAAGAAGCTTTGAAGAACTGCTCCGGTATCATATTTTCTCCTCCTTCAATAAAGTTCATTTTCCGCTAAAAGGTGTTTTACATTTTGGTGTAACTTGCTTAAGATAGATCAACAAATGTCAAGTTAATTTCATCTTCTTTTAATTGTAAAATAGAAACAAACAAACATTACATGGTGATGTAAACTTGCTTAACGGGAGGTTATCTGCCTCTCATTACTTTGGATGTGCTCCGCACACTTTCGTCTTCTACTACAGGAAATAGAAGTGGAATTGAGTAAATTAGGCCCTAGAGGTTCAAATAAGATGAAAAAGTCTTTGCTCCAGGCAATAATTTTTCCATCAACCCTATGACCTCAAAGGAATTTCTTCATAAATAGTTGACTGAGGGAGTGGGCAGCATTTTACTTAGTTAACTCATGGCTCTGTTTAATATATTGGTGTCAATTACAACTGTGTTACTGTGATATTAAACACCTCCCAGAGAGATACTCTGAAGGAAAAAGAATGGAACTATTTTCAGGAGACAGAAGTCTAATCAACCTATCTGGCTATTCTCTTTTCTGAGGTTAAGATTTATATGAATTTCTTGGGAGTGGCTATCATTCTGTGATGATAGGAACTCACAAAACGAAAGGCGAGGGAAATAGGGATGAGCACTTTGGGAAAGAACTATGTGATGTAGAAGAATTTGTCAGCATCAATTTGGAACTGGAAAATAATTGTGTTCCATAAGAATTCTCGCCAAAATACTCTCACTTCAAAAGAGTTTAATAATCAGACTGACAGAATAGTCTGTTCTTAAGTTCGTCCTTGATTTTCCAAGTGCTTGTGTGTTGGCTTCTTAAACAAAGTGAACAGTGAGGCCAGATGGAGCGTATACATGGCCTGAACATCACAGACTTCTTGCAAATCTGACCTGACTACCACCATTGTTGAAGACCCAACTTATCAGTGTTAATGACCAATTTCAACGCAATATGATACTGGTATATTAACTGTACCCCAAGCATCCCACAAACAGGTGGTAGTAGCTATCTATCTTCACTGAAAATGATATATTCTGGATTTGGGTTTTCTTTCCCTTGCCATCATCACTGTCTAGTACTACATTCCTTGAATTGCCTAAATGCCTTGTGTATTTCACAAAAAGAATGTGTTCTCAAACCAGGGAGGTCACCTCACAGTAGTAAGGGTCAGTCCCATGGATAGTGCTGATGCCCTTGGAGTTCAGTGACTTTGCCACATGTTTCATCCCCTAGAATGAGCTGACCTTACACAATATTAGTGTGACTTATCAAAATCTTGGCACTAGCTCAAAGTAGAAAACACCATCAGAGGCTGAAGAGCTATCCTGAAAAATGGACTCAAAACTTCTTGTGTCTCCTCTAACATTTTAGTTAATAAAATTCGTGAAGGTAGTTCTCATAATTGCATGTAATAATTCATACTCAAAATTGTGCTTTCCAACACTGCAAGCTAGATTTTACTGATTGAGAGATTTTAAAGCCTTAAAGAAGACAAAATTTCCTATTGGAACTTCTGCTTCCCAAGAGGAGACCTTCTCTCCCATAGCTGGGCTATAGGGCTCCAATAAGTTCACTTGTAGCAAGGCTTGAACTCTCTAAAAGCTGTTCTTGGTTTTATTTTCTCTACCCTCGGTAAGTTGGTCAGAGGAAACTCCCTATGCAAAACTATCAATTAAAATTTTCAGGTGGTAACTGAAGCTGCAAAGGTGAGGTGGAAAGAGAAAAAAAGGCAAAAAGAAAAATTCTAGAGTGAGGACTTGGAGATCCTGGGTAGCTGGCATAATTTAAAGATCAAACATATATTAGGAAAATCTGTCCTGGATCTCCTGTTTACACCATAAACTTCAGTTAGCTTTCATGTTCATTTCTCTTGTTCCAAGTAAACACCTGCAAAATGAATGACCAGAATCTGTGTATGCTGCTGAGAGTTGTATGAGCAAAGAAAAATCAGGTGCAAATCCTCCACTCCCCACAGCCTTCATTTTCCCCCCTCATTTCCTCTTCTATTCAGGTGACTCTTTGTTAGACCACACTGTTGTCATCTCCTCCTCCTCCTCCTCCTCCTGCTTTTGGCAATTAGCATGTTAATGCACCAAAAATACATGTTGTCTTATTTATTACGTGTGGTAGGAGTTTTGATACCCCAGATGGGTATGCAGTGGCCTTTTATCAGTACGTCAGTTTTCAGTTTGTTACAGAGAACATAATCCCTACTTCATAGACTTCAATTCTCTGAAAATGTTTGTGTTTTCCATTTTCATCTACAGGGGAAGGTTGTTGTGAATCATCACTATGAAGATATGTGCAAGTAACTGCCCAAGCATCTACTCTGTTTAGCAGATGTGACTCAAGTATGCACGGTGCAATCCAAGGTGTTGATTTGGATTTATTTCTGAAGCTGGATATGGGGACCAGCTGTGTCATATGGTGTAGAATTCCTACGGTGGGAAGCTCAGTTGTTCTGGATTACTTTTTCAATCCACGGTATATAGTTGAAGATTTTGGCATAGATGCCAACATCAGCTCTTAAAACACATCCATCCGCAAAAGATAGAATTCCTTGAAGTATCCCATTGCAGACTGCTGGGGCAGCCGAGACTTCCTGCCAGGAAACAAGCAAACAGGTTATCTTTCTGGCAAGACACAGGAATAAAATGGGAAAATTAAGGCATTGAGAGAATGTTACATTGCAGGGCTGCCTCCTTCCTGGCACGATGCCCACACACAGCATATCGTCCTTGATGCTGTAGTTTTTGTAAGCTTTGCGGCACTGAGCCTTGGAGATTACAGAGATATTCACATTCTGCAGTGAGTCAGGCTCCCTGGCTAAACAAAAGAGAGAAATTGAACTTCTCTAAGTGTTCTGTTATGTATCAAGATTTCTTTATTACTTTTTCTCTTTTTAAAAAATATATTTCTCCTTTAACTGTCAGAAAAGAAAGAGATCAAGCACAGAGATAGATCAGAATTGTGGCAGTTAGAACCCGGAAGCAGGAGATTATTAGATTAACAATTTTGCATGAGGCAAATGTCTGTCTCCTTCCAAAATGATTAAATTATTAGAAGCTATATGTAAATATGAAATATTCCTAAAATTCAATGAAACAAATTGCTTTAAAATGTAAACATTTACGGGATTTCCTTTTAGATGGAGTTTTTAGAGCTTGAAGGCACCTAGAGATATTTAACCTACTTTCTCATTTGTCAGGTCAAAATAAAATCAAGCATCTGCTAAAAAAAATTACTCAAAAAGTAATTTTCTAAAACCTGCAAGACTAACAAGTGGCAAAGCTAGGATTTAAAACTGAATTTTCGAATTTCTAATTCAAGTTCTTTCTTTTCTTTTTTTTTTTTTTTTTTTTTGAGTTGGAGTCTCACTCAGTCGCCCAAACTGGAGTGCAGTGGCCACTCCCGGCCACCGCAGCCTCGACCTGCTGGGCTCCGGCGATCCTTCCACCTCAGCCTTCCAAGTAGCCGGAATTACAGGCGCGCACTACCACGCCCAGCTAATTTTTTGATTTATTGTAGAGATGAGGTCTCGCTGCCCAGGCGGGTCTCGAACCCGCTGGCTCAGGCAATTCACTCACCTCAGCCTCCCAAAGGCGCGGGATTACAGGCTGAGCCACCGAGCCCGGCTTTCAAGTTCTTTCTTTTAATCAAACTTCCACAAAAACTGTGAATTGTGCATGCTTACAGCAAAGTTCTTCTAATCTGAAACAAAATCAGAAAACATCAGCCCAGGTATAGTGGCTTACTCCCGAAATCCCAACATTTTGGGAGGCTGAAGCAGGAGGATCACTTGAGACTAGAAGTTTAAGACCAGCCTGAACAACAGCGAGACCTCGTCTCTACACAAATTTTAAAAATTAGCTAGGTGCACTCTAGCCTGGGCAACAGAGTGAGACTTCAACAACAACAACAACAAAAAATTAGCTAGGCATGGTGGCAGGCACCTGAAGTCCTAGCTACTCAGGAGACTAAGGCAGAAGGGTTGCCTGAGCCCAGTAGGCGGAGACTGTGGTAAACTGTGATCAAGTTGGTGCACTACAGCCTAGGCAACAGAGTGAGACTCCGACTCAAAAAAAATGCATATATGCATTTTTTTTTGAGTCGGATATATGATAATATTTAAAAACAACAACAAATTTGTATTTAGGCATGTGGTAGATATCCTCACCAAGAATTTTTCCTTGGGAAGAAGTACTATATTTTGAGATTTTGTTTTTTAAAATGGGGGAGTGTATGTTCACTTTATGCCTTTATTTGAAAATAATCAAATTCATGAAAAAAAATGTTTGAGATCCCTTACTTTATTTCCCATCCCAGTGATAATTTCATGATTTAAAATTTCTTTTGCGAATGCTTCTTTAGTAAATGCTTGCTTAATATTTCATAAGCCAGATAAAAATAAACTGCATTTATTTTTGTAGTCACATCTCTTTTTGACCTTAGCGCCATACCCCAGATGAAAAAAAAATCATACTGCTCACTAAGGGGACATTTGGTTATTTTCAAAAATCAGATAGACTCTCAAAGAACAAATAATTTTGATTTTTTTGATGTATTCAAGAAAATATGCCCAAAGTCTAAAGCACAGTTTTAAAAGGTTTGAGTAATGGAAACAATGTTAGGATAAGTGCGTATCTGCCCCCTAGCGTCTGTTAAAAGCAAGCAGAGATTGGTGGATGAATGTAATTTGACAGGTTCATTTGAAATGAATCTTCTTTCCATACTACAATGTCTATTTACATATACTCAAATAAACTTACTCATGAGTAAAGATGTATTAATAATTCTTTGTAAGGGACTATATTATTCTATTTTGCTTATAGGTGATCAACTCCCATACCCTAATACTCACTACTATCTTAATTAGCAGCTGTAGAGTTTGCATAAGCATTTTGGGATGAGGTAGTTTGCAGATGGGTATAACAACTTAGAAAACAGGAAGCTACCTTCACTTGCTCAGTATTTTTTTCATGGAATCTTAATTATGAAACATAGAAGAAAGTTTAGAATGTTTAGTTCAGTAGTTTCAAATTATGTACAGAAAACTTACACTGATAAAAATAATGGTAGCTCTTTATAAATTTTCTGAAGAAATGAGAGAATGTTTAGAATGTTATCAGTTAAAAATCTTTTAAAAATATTTTCTTCAGTTTTTAACGGCATAGCTCTAGTACAATATTTCATAAGGAAATTCCATACGATTTAGTACAGCATTATATATTTTTCTTATGTTTAATAGATTAATATTTATTTTATGACATTTAAAGGCTTTAAGTTGCTTTATTGCCTGAAATGGTTTGAAAATATATGTGTTCTGCCTTATTTCAGAGTTAAGAAAATCAAGGCTCTGATGTAAAATTACCTGCTATCACAGAGCAAATTAGGATTAGAATGCAAGTGTCTTCTTTCCACTAAAACTGCTTCTATCATATCTGAATGTAAAGATGATAGAAATATATGGAGTGTGGTGAGGGGGGGACACCTTGAAGGTCTCTTTCAGTGAAGTGTTAAAAAAAGGAAAGGAGAGGGAAAGAACGAATAAAGAGGTTAGAAGAATGACTCATTGGGCAGAATTGCAAAAGCCCAGAGTGGAGAAACATTTCTATTTCTGAAGATGAATGTTGTCTTGAAGTCAACAGACATATTATGTATCCTGAACTCACAGATATCACACACGTTGTAGCTCCAAGTGGTGACAGTGCACATGGTGTTCACAGGGACAGACTGATAGGGCAGGTTTGCCAGTTTTATATGGTCATTGAGTTCAATCTTTCTTTTCAGCTTGATTAGCATGATGTCATGATTAACAGATGTGATTGAGAATTGTGGATGGTGAATCATCTTCTCATAGCCAACCACTTGCAGATGTTTTTCACTGGAATCTGCTGGGATTGTAATCCCCAATATCACCCGAAGCTTTCTGGAACAACATGGATATTTATGAGAAGACTTAACAGAGATGACTTCTCCACCCTTATGGATTTTTATTAACCCTCCCCACACACTTTTTTCTCTACCCTCAAATATCCTCTGAAGGTCTTCCTAATCCTGCGTAATGGGAAGATGTTCCCAGGCAGTGGTTGGAGTCTGTGCCCAAACTGAGAACCCAAAGAGTCCAGTGGGAGCTTGTCACTCACGGTAAGTTGCAGTGTGCAGCTGTGATGACCCAGAGCGGGTGGATCAGGACTCCCACGCAGGGCAAGTAATCAGATTTCAAGTAGGCTAAGTAAGGGGGAGCGGTGCCAATTGTGTAATCTGGTTTGAGGGCCAAAGCAACTGGGAAGAGAGGCACAGACAAGAAATTCTGAGATTTTTTTTTCAGTCAATCACTAGAAAAATTAAGGAAAGGATGTTTAATAGGCCCCAAGTACACCCTACCCTTTACCTCAGCATCTTCATCTGTAAATTTGATCTGTAAAATAACTTACCTTGTTCTAAAACATGAAGAAAATAAGTGGTAAAAACACATCTGTTTCAAAAAATAGAGTGTTTGCCTCTTTAATTGTCAAAAATACTCTTCAAATTAAAAAAGATCAACTTTCTTGAATATCTTTTCCAATTCAGGGGGTTCTATGTTAAATCAACTATTTTGTTTTGTTTTACTATTTTTACCAATTTTAGAATGCTTTGACAAATCTTATCTTTTTTCCCCATTAAAGGCAGAATGATATAAACATCATTACAGGAACAGACAAATGCTAACAGAGTCTGAAGAAGGGGTAAATAATTCATTTTTTCAACAAATATACATGGGACACCTAGTGGGTACAATGCTCTATTCTAGGATCTTGATTATACAGTAGGCTAAATAGATGTTCCTGCTCTCATATATTCCAGTGAGTAGAAACAGTAATAATAAACAAAACACATAAGTAAACTGTGTAGAATTTTAGATGGTGATTAGTGCTGTGGGAATAAAAGTAGGACAGGGAAAGATGAAAAGATATTGCCAGGGGGGGGGGTGTGTGTGTGTGTGTGTGTGTGTGTGATCTTGCAGTATTAAATCAGTAGCCAGGGTAGACCTCACCAATAATGTTGAACAATAATATAAAATGACATCACAGAGGCCATAATTGCTGACCTGGAGTGAGTGGAGGGGAGCAGAGCAGGAAAGGAAGTCAAAGGTGGGATGGAAGGTTTTGTAGAACATTGTAAGGTCTTGGACTTGTCTTCTGAATACAATATAGAATGACTTCAGGGTTGTGTGCAGAGAAGTGGTGACAATTTCCTCTGGGGATCCTGAAGAGTTTAGAAGTAGAGAAGCAGAGGGCCCAAAAATAATTTGATAGTCCAGGCAAGAGGTGGTGGTTTGGACCATAGTGAGCAGTGGAGGTAATGAGATGTGATTGGATTTTGGCTATATTTGATAAAATAAAACCCAAAAGATTTTCCAAAGAAATTGAATGTGGGGTGTGAGAGAAAGAGAGGATTTGTGAATAATGCCAAGGTTTTGCTGTGAGTAGAACGATGTGAGTAGATATATAACCCATTAACGCTCTGTTGCACCCTGTGCAGAGCATCAGACCCAGACAGGTCCAGGGTCAGATTTTAGCTTCTTCCTTATGAGTGGTTTTGGTATGGGGGTGTCAACGTCCATGCCTCCCCTCAAAGCATGCAAGCAACCCGGTAGACAGGCACTATCACAAGAGATAACCTGCCAGAGACAGGGGCAGTCATGAGTGGCAGAGAACCAGTCCTACACTTGCAGTCTGGAAGACACCTCTTTCCTATACCCATCTTTCATGCTTTCCCCAGGACTTCTCCTTCGTAAAGAGACAAATACACAGATGCGCACCTGGCAGGTTCAAGAGAACCCAGAGGAAGAAAAACTTCATGATGTTGAAAACCACTTCAAAGGGTAAGATTCATCTCAGGTCATCTGGAAAACACACAAAGGAGAGAGGGAAAAGGCTAAATAAAGCAAAAAGAGGTTTTAAAATTGGGGAGGAAAATCATCATCTGAATTCTTTCAGTCGCAAAATTCAGTTTTAGAAAAGGTACTCATCAGTCGGAGTAGGAGGTAGTGTCAGTTTTCAGAGGGATACGAATGAAGGTCAGATGACTTGATCTCTGACATCGTAGAAAATGTTTCTGAAATTCAGAGTTCTGTGCTCTCTTTTCAGGAAAGAAGGTACTGAACCTGAAAGAAGTTAAAGTTCACAATGTCTCCACAGCCTCCTTCTCTCTGGTCTCTGTTTTGCCAGACTTCAAAGGCAGGTCCCTCGCTGAACTATGCATAGGATGCTGCCCCTCCCATCTGTGTGATGCTAACCTCCACTTCTGTGATGCTTATACTTTTCTGCAGTGGACATAACCCAACCCTTGTGCTGACGTTGCTCCCTTTGCCTGACACTAAACTCCTCTTTTAAATACATTAGTCTTTTTCTTTATGTCACTATTTATTCACTTATGCAATGAAACAGCTTGCAAATTATGGATATCATGTATCTAACTTGTGGTAGGGTCTGTGCTTACTATTGAGGATGCCTGAATTTAAAGACAGTATTTCTGCCTTCACTGAGTTTATAAACAGGTAGGAATGATAAGAAATTTAGCAGGCAGTTAAGAAACAAAATATTCAGATCTAAAAATTGAGGCCTGCCACAGACTATGTGAACATATTTGCAGAACACATATCAGAATTCAGATATAGGGAAATATTAAGAATCAACAATAAGAAAACAAACAATACAACTTAAATGTTGACCAAAGAGCTAAACAGACTTCTTACCAAATGGCTTTTTTAGTCTGCTTGGGCTGCCATAACAAAATCCAATAATCTATGTGACTTAAGAAACAGATATTTATTTTCTCACAGTTCTGGAGGCTAGAAGTCAATAATCAAGGTGCTGGCAAATTCACTTTCTAGTGAGGGCTCTCTTTCTGGCTTGCAGATAGCCATCATATTGCTACATCCTCATATGACCTTTCCTCTGTGGAGAGAGAGAGAGAGAGAAAGAGACCTTCTTATAAGAACACTAATCCTGCCAGGCTCGGTGGCTCAGCCTGTAATCCCACACCTTTGGGAGGCTGAGGTGAGTGGATTGCCTGAGCCCGCGGGTTCGAGACCCGCCTGGGCAGCAAGACCTCATCTCTACAGTAAATCAAAAAATCAGTCGAGCGTGGTAGTGCATGCCTGTAATTCCAGCTACTTGGAAGGCTGAGGCAGAAGGATCACCGGAGCCCAGCAGGTCGAGGCTGTGGTGGCCGGGAGCAGCCACTGCACTCCAGAGTCTGGGCGACAGAGTGAGACTCCAATTCAAAAAAAAAAAAAAGAACACTAATCCTACCAGATCAGGGTCTCATTTAGCCTTAATTGCTTCCTTATAGGCCCCATCTCCAGTAAAGTTACATTGAGATTTGGGGCTTCAAACATAATGAATTTTACCACCAGGGGAGGAATCATAACGCCAGATAAGATATACAGAAGGCAAATATTATGTGAAAATATTTTCAACAATATATAGCTAGGAAGTTTCAAACTAAAACAAAATGAGATACCACTACACACCTAGTGGAATGGCTAAAATTCAGAGCATTGACAATGGATGCTGGCAAGTACCTGATGCTGGTGGGAATTTATTGTTGATGGGAGTACAAAATGGTATTGTCCCTTTAGAAAAGTTTGACAGGCATGATGGGTCACACCTGCAATTCCAGCACTTTGGGAAGTGGCAGCAAGAGGAATGTCTGAGTTCAGGAGTTTGAGACCAGCCTGAGCAACATGGCGCAACCTCGTCTCTATATTAAATAAAAAAATTATCTGGATGTGGTAGCACATGCCTATGGTTCCAGCTTCTTGGAAGGTTGAGACAGAAGGATTGCCTGAGCCCAGCAAGTCGAGGGTATGGTGGCCATGAGCGTGCCACAGCACTCCAGCCAGGGCAACAGGGGGAGACTCTGACTCAAAAAAAAAGAGAGAAAGAAAATTAAAGTTTGAAAGTTTTTTGCAAAGCTAAGCATTGCCTTATCACATGATATAGCAATCACACTCCTCAGTATTTGCCCAAGTAAGCTGAAAATTATGTCCAAGCCGGGCTCGGTGGCTCAGCCTGTAATCCCGCACTTCTGGGAGGCTGAGGTGAGGGGATTGCCTGAGCCCGCATGTTCGAGACCTGCCTGGGCAACTTGGCGAGACCTCATCTCTACAATAAATCAAAAAATTAGCCAGGCATTGTAGCGCGCGCCTGTAGTGCCAGCTACTTGGAAGGCTGAGGCGGAAGGATCCCCGGAGCCCAGCAGGTCGAAGCTGCGGTGGCCGGGAGCAGCCACTGCACTCCAGTCTGGGCAACGGAGTGAGACTCCAACTCAAAAAAAAAGAAAAAGAAAACTTATGCCCACAAAAGCAACTACACACAAACATTTAAAGCAGATTTATTTTTTCAATTGCCAAAGTAGCCAAGATGTCCTCCAATAAGTAAATGCGTTAAAAAAAATGCTATTCAAAGATTTTAATATTCTAAACATCAAGTTATCAAGCCATGAAAAGACATGGGGAAAGTGTAAATACATATTGCTAAGTGAAAAAAGATAGTCTGAACAGATAGATTATTTACTGCATAATTCCAATTATATCGCATTCTGGGAAAGGCAAAACTATGGAGATGGTAACAAGATCAGTGGTTGGAAGGGTTTGTGGGAAAGGAGAGAATGAATAGGTGCAGCATAGGGGGATTTTTACGGCAGTAAAATTATTTTATATGATACTAGAATGGTGGACATACAACATTATACATTTGTCAAAAGCCATAAAATTGTACAACATAAAGAGTGAACCCTAATATAAACTGTGGGCTTTAGTTGATAATAATGTGTCAATACTTGTTATTTGATTGCAACAAATGTATCACACTATTACAAAGTGTTAATAAAAGTAGATTTATCAGTGATAGACTCTAAGTGGTGGGCAAACAGGCATGCACTGTAAAATTATTTTATCTTTATCATATGCTTGAATGTCAGAAAATATTTTGTTTAATATTCAGGTGTGTGTTAGAGAACAGAGTTCAAGATGCATTTCAGTCTACATTGTGTGTAAGAAAGGGGTGCTCAGGAGACAGAATGAGAGTTTCTGTGTTATAAAAAGGAAAGAAAACAATAATCCAAGATGAAGGGAGAGTCTGTAAAGACATGAAGGTACAAAATGTCATGGTGTCTTTGTGAAACCGTAACAAAATATACGAGGGGGAGTGTTGAGAGCTAGGGAAATAGATAAGGAGGATCAAATAATGAAGGCTTTATTATGGAAACCTTGCATCTATACAATTTGCATAAGTCTTTATCAGGTGGGAGATAAGGAGCTAAGAAATTTTTTGTTTGACAAAAATCTATTGAATGCTATGGGAACAGACCATAGACTCCATGCTCACACCCTGTATAATACCCTTCCCTTGAGTGTGGGAGGGACTGTGACTTGCTTCTAACTAATAGAATGTGGCCACGGTGATGGGGTGTCACCCATATGATTATGTTAATATGTAATAACATTTTATCTCTATCTATCTATCTATCTATCTGGTTACTACACACAAGAGAACTCTCCCTGCTGTTTTGATGAGGTAGCAGCCACATTGAGCAAGTCCAGGGTACTGGTGGTCTCTGTGAATTAAGGACAACCTGAGGACTTGAGGGTGGCTTTTGCTGACAGCCATAAAAAACCAAGGCTCTGTTAGTATAAACACATGAGAGTGAAGTCTGCTGACAACTTGAATACATGTAGAAAAGATTCGTCCCTTGCAGCCTTGTTAGACTTTGAAGAGAGAACCCAGCTAAGCTTGCTTGGATGCTTGACCCACGTGTATTCTGAGTAATTGAATGTATGGCAATATTTTTACATGCAACTGAAAACCAATACAAATGTAGATTGTGTGATGGCACTTTATTAGATACTGATGATTTAATGGTAAAGGAGATGAGAATCTTGCTCTCCTACATTAATAAAGTCCAGTAGGGGGGGCAGATGTAATAAGACTCACCATCACAAATATAGAATTGTGGGAAGTAAAGGAAGATAGAGAGACATGTAGCAGGAGCCTTAACTTAAGAGTCAGAAGAAGACCTCCCTGGGGAAATGATATTGGAGACTTGAAAAATGAACAGAGGCTAACCAACTGAAGATATGGGGGAAAGCATTCTGGGAGAATGAGCAGGACTCCAAAGAGGACAGAGCACATAAAAAAGAATATGAAGAGAGAGACAGATATGAAGACATAGACAGGAAAATCTTACAGAACAGACCTTTCAGGAGTTGTCAAGTAAGAACTGCCTGCCAAGGAGATAGAGGAGGCAACCAGTGAGTAGCACAAGGGAGCTTTATTTAGTTCTGCATTTAGACAATTGAGGTTTTATCTTGATTACATGATGACAGGAAGAAGCCAATATGTCAAGGAAATTGAAAATACAGAAAAGTAGAGAAAATCAATAAAGCCAATCCATGCGGTGGTCAGAAAAGGTGCGATCCATACCACAAGTAAAAGCAGAACTGTAGGTAACATGATTCCCTTAACTGTAGCAAGAAGGATGGAAACAAAAAAGAGTAAGGAAAACAAAAAACAAACAAACAAACAAAAACCCAACCCCAGCTACGTATGTTTGCAGATTTAGCTGTGGAAGCTGAGAGAGATATATTCTATGGTTTTAACCTCCCTCTACTCCCAAAGAGTCATCTACTCAGAGAGAGCATTACAAGTTTGAGGACAGAGGAAAGAGGTTGAAAGAGCTACTGTGGAGAATTATAGCTAAAGCAATCTTCAGCAAAAAGAACAAAACTGGAAGCATCACAGTTCCAGACTTCAAACTTTACTATAAGGCTAAAGTAACCAAGAGAACATGGTAC